ACCTTAAATACATTTACTTCCAAACTTGCCTTCTACTGCTCCCTTCATATTCTCAACACTAGCATCCTCGGCAGGCAACACTGTCCTCTGCACTCTGAGATTCTCATGAGATTTTAACAAAGATATACTTTTTATCAGTGGCTCGTTGTGTTGCGACACGTTTATCTTTTGAAGTGCCATGTGCTGCATCATTCCGCGAATTATTTCGACAAGACAATTTAATGCGACTATTGTAAGAGTCATTTCATGCCGTGTATGTTCCATTGGGGCCTTGATTTCTCGGCATTTAAAGTGTATTAGGGTATCCTTTTTCGCCATTCGTGTGACATGACATATGCTGCTGCTCTCGTTACTTTCAGAGGTATAATGATCGTGGTTTACTTAATCGTTTCCTGACATACACGAGTCAAGAAATCAAACCTACAAAACTCTCGTGTTGATACTATTAAATTACTGTGATAATTAAAAAAAAACTCTAAGAGGACTGGGTTAAATTAATGATGTGGAAAAAAATCCAAAATCGAATTCCACGACGATGGAGACAGCGGCAACGATAGACGTCGTCGTAGTTTACCAGCTGCAAGAGTGCGAGCCACAATTAATATCAAATCTACACCGCACGTTAATTAGAAAATGATTCTAACGTTTTATGTTTAATGCATTGGTATTGTCAGATATTACGTGTCAGCACAAACTTCATCGAATCGAAAAGAACTATTAGTGGATCTACTTCAATGTCAGTTGTTATCGCTCGTGGGCGTACTACCAAACGAGCAGATTTTATTCTCGTCTTCTGGAGAGATCCTTTATTCACACAATAAGACACAGGTGGCCACGATCGCAGTGTCTACTATATCTCGCCCTCGCTTCTTCCTCTCCGCGAGGTCTAATCCCACGTTGGCGCTAGCAAGCGATTGGAGACAAATTTGTACAAAATGTACATTTGGAGACGCTGCAGTGGTGCAGCCTGCCTATCGGAAGATTGTACCGGATGGAGGAGACCCACTGGTCACACTTATATGTGAGTCTTGTGCTCGAACGTGTACTACAGGTAAGCGTAAAGATGACGTTTAAACCGTCCGAGACATTGACAAATCCTGCAATGAATGCAGAATTTCAGCCTGTTAGTCCACTGGAGTTGGCTTCGAGCAAGTCATTTATCTCAAAATTTATCTCTGATCTCGTTATAGTGAGTGGTGACATTGATGTTGGTGCGCCACCTGGGTATACAAAGCTTTCAGTAGCATTAAATCACTCTGCATCGGGGGATTATGTGTATCTTTGCTTAAAACGTGGCGGTCCGCGTGCATTGACGCAAATACACGTGCTTTTAGAAGAGATGCAAAGCGCAAAGTCTAGTGCCGAATTCATTGTGAAAGGCACAGAAGAAGTAATTGTGACTGATTACGATACCGGTTATGGATCTCATGATACTGCTGGAACCAGATTTCACATCGGATATGACACGGTGCAAGTCAGTGGCAATATGGAGGACGTTGAAACACTTGCTATCACTGAAATAACTGTTATTGTCGGCGAACAAGTCGGCCCTCCTGGGTTTATAAAAATTACTCGAAATTTAAACAAGGGAATTTTAGGCTCTGTCCCGGTTCACCTTTGGTATCGAGTGTCACCACTTGGTGGATTCGTGTGCGACTCAAGTCGAGAGCATAATAAGTTTGGGGAATGTCTCTTTGCGACTCGTCATTTAAAATATTTAGACAGTGTTATAGATGTGATGAACAAGGGACTGAGTTCAGCTCAGAAAACCTTGGCGGCTGAACGGCTACGCGTAGATGCAAATGCAATAGATATTCATTATCGACAACATCAGCCAGGTATGCTTAAACGGCTACAAAGTGGATTGGAGCGAGCACAGTCGTACGAGAACAAACACATGCAAGAGGAGGCACTGAAGCGCATCCCGGTTGACAATCTGCATGAGCGAGCACAAGCTAATCCGTCTCCAATGGCATCGTACCGTGATGAGCTAATCAAACAATTACTACACTGGTTTAAGCACGATTTTTTTACGTGGATGAATGAGCCTAGCTGTTCGGCTTGTAACAATGAGAAAACTCGCTTGTTACGAATGGACGGACCGAGTACTGCTGAAGAAATCGCTGGCCAAGCAAGCCGTGTAGAGGTTTATACATGTCCAGCTTGCGGAGCACTGACTCGGTTTCCACGATATAATGACCCAATAAAACTGCTTGATACCCGCACTGGGCGGTGCGGAGAATGGGCAAATTGTTTTACTCTTTGCTGCCGCGCAATGGGATATGAGGCGCGTTACGTTTTGGATGTAACAGATCATGTCTGGACTGAGATCTACTCGGACCATTTGAAGCGGTGGCTGCATTGTGATTCGTGCGAAGAACAACTTGACTGCCCCCTTACGTATGAGGTCGGTTGGGGTAAGAAGTTGTCGTATATATTCTCGTTTGGGCATGATGAAGTTGCTGACACGGCGAGAAGATATACGCAAAATTGGGCAGACATGCGCACAAGGCGTCAAGATGTGAGTGAAACGTGGTTGCAGATGACGATTAATCAGATGAATAACGAGTTACGAAAGCGACAAACTCCTGAGAGAGTTGCCATTTTGACGATGCGTGCAGAAAGCGAACTTAAAGAGCTGCTTTGTACACGTTCTGCTCAAAAGTCGGAAATAATGGGTCGAGTTTCGGGCTCTGCTGAATGGAAAAACCAACGGAATGAAGACGGAAAAGGAGAAGCGAAATTTGCGAAGGCAACAACTACGTCGAAATCAGTTAAAAACATCAGTCCGGGTTTGCAAGCTAGCAACATTTTGCAGCAGATCTGTAAAAATTTGGTGATTGGGTGCCAATCAACTAAGTGCTTCAATCCATTTTGCTTTACTGGTCGTACAAGGACAAATAGTGCTCAAGTAAGTTCTGATGTCAACGAGCGAGCTGTCCAAGCCATTCAAGTGATAAATGGCTTGAACCATTTTCATCCAGAATCCTTGGTATCGATGCAATGTTCGAATAGGTCAATAGAGTTACGAAACTTTTTGTGGAAGAGACATCCGCTGCTGTATTTGTCGCTCCAAGACCTTCCTTCCAGAGACGACAAAATGCCTCTCATTGATATATCGGGGAACAATAATCACGTATACAATTCTCAGCACTGTGCTCTGCGCAAACCGTTCAGAATTCCCTATTCAGGTGAGATAACCAATACCGATACTGAGGCCAAAAGTCGGCGTGAAGACAGAGCATTTGGGATGCAACTGCATGGTGGTAAATTTCTAGAAATCTCTAAGCTGACTGTACCACGTGATATCGGTTACGTGATGTCGTTTCTTGTTCGTATCGATCAAAATGAAAGCCTGACTGTACAGCAGTCAGATATAGAAAGCGTTCTTAAGGTGCTGATAAACGCTTCCAAACCTGCTGACTCAGTGGAATTTTGCGTAGGCTGGAAGCGAGCGGATCGAAAATTTGTTTATGAGCTTGTAGTCAACGAGACAAGAACAAAGTCAAGTGTGAGTGATGCGTTGCTTTTATCGTTCGGTCAATATGCACACGTTGCTGTTGGGCGAGACAAAAGTAGTATCGCTGTCAACATTAACGGAGTGGAGGTCTTAGGGACGGCTAAAGAATATCAAGAAAATGAACAAGTCTGGTGTCTTCAAGGACCAGCCAAGATTCATTCCAGCGTAAACGTTGTCATTAGTCACGTAGCAGTGATACCTACAAATGCCTTCGAAGACCTTACAAGTTTTTGCACTGAAATGAAAAAATATTTTGTTTCGGCTCCACCTTTGGTAGGATTTGGACCCGATGGAAAAGTTAGTGATAAGAGATGCTCTGAAGTGGCAGCTGAAGCACAATCAGGATATCGTGTGGCCCAAGTTTTGCGTAGGTTGAGATATATCATTTTTGACGCTGATCTAATAGCATGTATTGTGTATAGTATGGGGACATGAATTTCTTGATGGTATTCAATTTGTATACGAAAAAACTTTGGCGCCAGGGGACACGAACGTTTCGTCCGCGCAGTCAACTTCACTTCACGGCGCGTTGATGGGGAATGAGATAGCAAAGCGCCAATCATCACAGCCATCAGTCACCCTACATCTTTTGCAGGATGAAGTTGTGACTCGTTTGAGTGGTCGGAAAGGTCATTGGATCGACAGTATTACGTTGGAAACCAATTTTGGGCGTACAATCTCATGTGGAGGAAAAGGAGGAGGCGAATTTACAGTGTCTGTACCTGCACATACGGAAATTCGGTCGATCTCTTGCAAAGCTGGCAATCATCTGACAGATCTATGCGTGTTTGTGCTTGAATCTACATTTATCAAAGACATCGAAGGTATATAGGGTCTTTTGCTCTCTACGTTTCTATCTGCCAACGTGAAGTGCTTATCGCTACAGATCAAGTCGTGCAACAGCTTCAGGATATATTCTCATCTTGTGAGACGTTATTGCGCTCGAACGCAATTGCTGCAGGTATGATTGTGAATTTACCAACCCTTTTTATTGGTGTATTGATATCACGATATTTTGCTCAGCATTGCGCTATTTGGAAAACATCGCGAGACAACCAGAGGAGCCGAAGTTCCAGCGTATCCGCGCCAGCAACAAGTATTTCGCTGGAAGTATAGGAGCGCTAGGCGACGAAATTGCAAGATCTTTTATTTCTTGGTGTGGTTTTGAAGAGACTGTGGATCAAAGCGAAAAGTTCTATATATTCCGACCACGGCAACCAAACGGTGATATTTTGCCTCCACAGCTAACAGGGGAAGCATACAAACGCCTCCATTTTTTAAATTTTCTCAAGAATCAGTGACACGCATATACGAAAATTACACAATGACGAAGATTCGTTGTACGCGGTATCATCTCATTCTGGTTCCACAACTTTAAGTATGAACGAAGACTGACGGAGTCTGTTTTATTTTCCTAATCGTGTTGCCAACTGCTTTAAGCAACTGAGCATTCCACCTCTTCCTCGTCAATTGCTACATTAATTAGTATGTTAGCTTATGTAAATTCTGATGTGTGAATCACAAATGCAAGGTTGGCATGAAGACTAGATGGTAGAAAAATATACTTGGATCAATGAAAGTTAAATTCTTGATTAAAATTTCATAACATGGTCCGAACGTAAAATATCAAAAACTTCAACTGTTTAAATTGATATTCGAAACAAGTTGAAGCGACGTATGTGCATTGCGCCATGCACCAACTCTATCGCCAACCGTTGGGTGGTCAACAGCTTCAGTATTTACGCCAACTACGCGATCTGAGAGATAATGATGTGCGTGAGAAGCATCTGAAGCGCCAAGGAGGAGTCTCTGCATCCCTTTACGACACCCAGCAGCCACGGGATGTTCAGGCACAACACACCGTGGATGCTATCGTAGAAGAGCGTCTACAAAACAGCAAAAATATCACCTCCGCAAGAGGTTGCGATAAAATTTCAGCTGCACGTCAGACAGAGCGAAGTGAGAAACTGAGTGATGAAATGCGGCAGCCAGAGATGAGCAAGACATGGAAGATCATAGGTGTAAGGAGAAGAGGAGGAGCATCTAATACAGACCAAAAGGGTATTCGTACACGTCGAATTGGAAAAGTTGAAGCTGAGTGGATGGAAAAGCAACTGCAGTACAAGACGAGAGTGTTGCTTGTGGAAAAAGAGTGTAGAAGTGCGTGGCAAACCTTTTTTGCTAGTTCAAGATCTTTTGTTAGCCATTTGAATTGTGTAGCGGCAGCTGATGTGAATAATCAATATGAAGAGTTGGAGATGTTGAGAGTCAAAGAGAGAGATAAGATGAGACATCATTTAAGACATTTGAGCAAAATGGTGAAGGATGTGCAATTAAAAGTGGAAATGATGGCGACCGGAAATCAGTGTATGTCGGAACTCCAGGAGACTATTGATTCAATGGAAAAAGCACTCGCGAGATTTCGAGAGGATCAATTGCAAAGGTTTGAAGAATCTGTGCTTGAGGAAAAAGTGCTGGGAAAAGCACTAGCAGTGTTTATGGAAAAGTTGGCGAGCTGGGAGGATATGACGTCACTACGGCTCAATCGGGGTACTAGCTCTGCCGTTTTAAAGCCAGGTCTGGGACATATAAAAAACAAGACTTCTAATGGTGCCAGTAAGAAGGATAACCAAAGCGAAAACAAACCTAAAAGTTTGCGCGCTACTTGCAGTAGTAACCAAGAGGAAGATCAAGCAGTGATATCTGCTACTTCCGATGATACTGCGATGGTTAATCGTGTGCGCTGTCTCAATGAGGCAATTATTCGATCAGGAGGATTAGATGGCGGTTGGGATGCTCGGGAGCATTGTACATTTGTGGCATTGTTGTCAAAATGTGGTCTCACTGATGATGTTCTACTTCAGCATTTGTCCCCAGAAGACCTGGATACGTACTCACAATTTTTAGGTGAACACTTCGATCATAATCACAACGAGGGATCGCGCACCAGTAGCGTATGTGTTTTTGAAACTCGAATCGCGCGCTTTCTGCACATATGTATGCAGAAGATTGTTACTCAGCCCAGAGCTTCTGTGCGATCCCATCTTGAATGGTATTTTCATTACATCAAGCTTGTAGAAGAGAAAAAGCACATGATTCAGGAGTGGAAAAAGCGCAAACATGAGGAACGTAAGCAGCTAATTCACTGTGACTTTATTGCTGAGAATCATGTACCGGAAAATGCATCTAGGGCCAAAACGGCAGACGCTCAGCGCGACAAAGTCTCTCAAATCCAAAATGCTGATTTAAATGATAAGAAAAAGCGAGAGGAGACGGAAGTTCTATTAGTACAGTGGAAACAAGAGAAGAAGCAGAAAGAAATTCAGCAGGAGCAGCGAAATCGAGAGCTTCAAATCAAGCGCGACGCATTAGAAGCAAAGGTAAGCGACGACGTTTAATTGCTGGTAGACTCGTTAAAGTACATTAATTAATCGTAAACTAGCGGAGACAAGAACAATTGGATACCAAGCAGAAAGTTTTATTGTACAAACTGCAGAAAGAGCAAGAGGCAATGACGCTCGACTGCTCAGCAAAGTCTCAACAGAAAGGTGCCACGAGCGGAAGCTATCCACACGAATCCATGGTATCGTCCTCTCCGGTAAGTTGTTGACAATTCAATGCTGCGCTGCTTCATATAGTAACAGGTCCATTCTTTGGTTGTTTGGAGTAGACTCCTAATGAGGAGTTGGTTGCGCGCTCCCACAAAGCCATTGAGTCCGCAAAGGCGAAACGCTTGCGACTTCAACGACTAGAGCTTCAAAAGCAAAAACGATTACAGCTTCCTCGTCGCCCCGAGCCCAAAGTTATCGACGAAAACGTCAAAGCTTTGCCAAAACCAGCTGTGGCGTTAAACGCGACTGCAGCGTCTAGGGCGCGAGACCTAAGTAAGCAAGACATTCAAAGGAACACGCGAAGACGGGAACGTCAGAGTGCACATGACGCTTACTTTCCTGGCATTGAAGCGATTCCCGACGTCAAGATCAAAAGTTTTGGGCACATTCCAATTCAGCCACGCGCCACACCAGCATGGAGAAAGAATATATAAAGTGTCACTATGTTGGAGCATGTTGACGAAAGACCACACTTGACCGCATTGTGTGCTCAAGAAACAGGATTATGCTCCGGACAACCCACGCACTTGCAGCTATCACCACATGTGCACTCTCCTCCAATGGCCATACCACATCCAGGCACAGCCCAACCAACAGCAAGTGCTGCGGTGTGAGCTACCGTCGTCATGTACCTTTGACAGCCATTTTGAGGACATATGCGCATATCACATTTATGGGAGTAATCACTTTTTTCAATTTCACTGGAAGAAGTGATTTTGCCACTGTGATATGATCCGAGAGGATCTGGCGCCACCTCTATCGGTATTCCCCATGCTTCTTCTGAGAGCTCTAGCATATTGAACCCGACATTTTTGGCAGCTTGCAAGAGTGGATTTGAATCTAAAAGCATTGCCACAACCAGTACTTCAACACGGTCCGTCAACAGCACGACATTTTCCACACCCTCCACAGCCATAAACGCATCCTTTAACTTGACCCCGTTCAAACCGACGTCACTCAAATCATCGACACGGAACCGAAATCGTCGAGGTAGCAAGGTCTCAGCATCAACCTCCGAGTCAAACCCAATGTCCGTAAGAGCACTTTGAATGGCGTTAGTGTCCATATCCCCGCGTACAATAATCCGACGGTGCTGAAAGTGCAATTTTGCTGCCTCCACCCCTTCAAGTGCGCGAGCTGCATTGAGCACAGATGTACCACAATTTGTAGGACACATCATGTCAGGTACACGTAAAACCACCTCTTTTCGCGTCCACGCACTTGCTGATTGTTCAATAATAGTGAATTCAGCAAAACCTAGCTCATCAAAAAGGACCAAGGATGTCTCTAAATTCATTTTTTGACAACCGCGTACTGCAACAAGTCGCGGCGAATCAATAGTGTGGGGCCTTGAGTCAGCAGTCACGTCACCGCTATCTATTCCACTGCTGGGAGCGAACTGTCGTGATCCGTGTTCCAGGAGTAAATGTACACTCATAACACCCGTTATCGATGACAGCAATGCCAAAATGGCCTTAATACCAATTGAGGTTGAATGTGGCGTGATCCGAAGTATAGATCGCAGTATCATTGTAGATCTTGGCGCCGAAAAGTCAATACTTCCTTGGAGACCTTTTGACTCGCATAAACTGGAAGTAACTATCGAGCTTGTTGATGTAGCAACGTGTGTGACAACATTTCGAGTTGTGAGCATAGGTATCAATCGTGTGGCAGCACGTAGCGTTGAACTATTGCATGTGCATCCTGCAACACAATTACACTCTCCACCATAACTGCGCGAGCAGCCATTATCCAAGCAATTTGCAATCTGAGTACCGTCACATCGCAAATTTGCTGAACTTGGTGACACTGGTGATATTGACGCCATCAGTGATGGACCTGAGCCTTCTAAAGTCGGACTTTTACTCAAGCAATTTCTATTGTCTTGCTGTATTCGAACGCTTGCTTCTTTCTGCTTTTGGCTTCTTATACACATTGCACACATCGTTCCAGTATCGTTTGGTGAACGAACAAGTCGTCTACAGCTTAGCACTGAGCACACACGTGCTCCACCATGTTCTGTGCATAATCCCGAAGCCCCTCGAGCTGGTTGCTGACAATTGCGTCGTCGACATCGTCTCGCACCGCCATGTGCCCTGCATTTGCCTCCTCCTTGGTCAATTTTAAAACATCCTTGCTCCGAACATCGTCTACCTCCACCATGAGCTGTACAGAATCCGCCTCCAACATCGGCTTTCGAACAATTAGCGATCTGACAGCGCTTACCACCGCCATGTGCCCGACACAAGCCCTTACCAGCATCCACTTTATTGCATCCACTCACCTGACACCGTGCTCCACCACCGTGTTGTCGACAAAATCCACCGGTCTGGTATCCTTTTGTACAGCCCGGAAAGGAGCACTTTTTGCCGCCTCCATGAGCCACACAAAAGCCTCCACCAGCGTCAACTTTAGAGCAATCGGTTCGGGAGCATTGACGTCGCGTTCGCTTTTTACTAGAAGCTGTCGCTGCTTCTTCTGCTGTTGGAGAGGCTAAGACAAGACGAATCGAGCTGCTTCGGCTGCAGTCTGGACGGAAGCTTGTCGCTTGCCGTGTTTGCATGTCAACGAAGAGTATGCTTGATTTGTCTTCAGGGGATATCTCTCGGTAAGTACGACGTCTAAAAAAAGGATATTAAACTTTGGAAGACAAGGTGGGTTAAATGCCCAGTCTACCATGTCTGGTGTTCAGCTATATTGTAGAGGGTACGGAACTGTTCAGTACAACTTTGTTATCCATGTCGGCAGAGTACAGTATATGACGTGTTCACATTAAAAAAGGTTGCTTTAGAAATTTGTTGGAAATACAAGTGAAATAACATGCACTGTCACATGACAAAAAAGAGTCAGTACGAAGGGACGGAATTGAAGGAAGGAATAGGCGAAGTACAAGTGACCGATGCGAACAAGGCAAAGTACATACTGCTATGTGCTTGACATTTTTTTGGCAATGAAGTGGTTTATCATACGGAGGCTGCTTTTCTTGGTATAGTTGCACGTTCCTATTTGCCCAATTGACACTCACATTACATTTGGTGTAACCGCAAGAAACTATGAGGACCGGATTATCGGAATTTATAAATATTACGAAAGAAGGGATTATAAGGACAGGTGGGTTGCTAGCTGCGAACGAAAATACAGTCGTCGGATAACTCATATCCGGGTAACTGATAACCTCATATAACTAATAAAAGTTTGTTCCAACCAAATGTAACTCATAACTGGTAAAATAGTAGCCAATTATGAGTTACCCGAATGTATGGCTAATTCGGGTCTTTCTGTCACTTGGACATTATGCGACGTTGGGTACTGCATTGATTACAGACATGAATTTTGTTGATGTAGACAATGAAGTGCCAAGCAATCATGCTGGACTAATTTAAAACCAGCCGCGAACTGATGGTAGTCTGGACCGTCGCCGTCGTTTTGAGAGATTTCTGCCGTTCTTGAATGCGCCTGAGAACCACTCTATCAGTGGGATTTCTCACATACAGCAGTGAAGCAGATACTGCTAGGCTCCAGATTCATGAATATCTGCTTTTCCACGTCTTTGTTTTCTTGATTGTCATTCTCCTCTTCTTCCGCCTTCTAAACTATGGCTATACTCTCAACTCCAGATTGGCTGTGTCGTCCTCCATCACTAGACTCAAAAGCTCTAAAGTAGCCGTAGGATCATTGACAGAAAGCCTTTGATAGCATCGCACAGGTCGATTTCAATGTATTACTCCTCCATATTGGGCACCGATATTTGAGGAGGCCCTGCAAAGAAATCGAAAACAATTGGCAACGGAAGCTACTGATATCTCCTCCCAAGCTGCTTTGCTCCATTTCATTGCGATTAGCTGATCGATTTATAGATGTTGGTTTTACCTAGATCGTCACGATCAACAGCATGTCGAAAATGATTACGTCGGTAATGTCGCTTGAACGTGGAGATTATCCCAGCATCCATGGGCTGGATCTTAGACGTGCAGTTTGGAGATGAAAAGATCATCATTTTTACCTCGTGATCGTCGACTATGTGAGAAGTGGCGTTATCGAGTGAAAGAAGGACCCGCCTATCTTTGGCCAAAACGAACAGTGATTGAATTTGTTGATAACACATCTAAAGCGTTTACATATTGTACCTTCATGTCGTTGTCAAGCCTTTACAGCCACTTCTGAAAGAGGGCGCCGGTCATCCACGCTATCTTATTGCTGCGATAATAGAAACTCAGTCGCTTACCTGTCTTACGATTAGAGCAGCCTTATTAGCCTTTCTAATGAACAATGGCTTAAGCTTGTCTGACCCATCTGTGTTGGCAGCAAAGGCAATAGTGAATGATAGTTCAGTCAACCTTTTCAGTGAAAACACGATGATTTTATGCAAACAAACTTACTTTGTCTTGTCTACATCCCTTAATCTAATGTTGTGCAATGGTCTTTTCTGGATCAAGGAATGAAATTATCCAACGAAGACATAATCTAAAAAAACTCAATGTAGAGTATGATATACCAGTTTCATCCATGTTGAACACATCCTTCAGCTCAAACCGAGCAATGAGTGCAGGAAGGGCAGCATCGATTACTGTCCGATCTGCTGCACGACTCTTACCATGGATTCTGATGCAATGCGGCTTTTTCCTCTCTAAAGTGTTGCAGCTACTCATTGAAGTATTTTCTTGCATCCAAGACGTTTGCTCTAGTGTGAATGAAATCTCCAGTGATGGCTACATGCCTTGTTTGGCATTGAAGCACTCATGTTGCCAAGGCTTCATCGAGCTGCGGTGATGTGCAGCGCAGGGCCGTTTGACCGAAAGCTCAACATCTGTCATGGCCTCGAGCTCGCGAAACGTTTTGAGGACGCTGCTAATAGCAGATTGAGTGATTCTAACCTTGTGAGTAGCCCATGCCTTAAGCGCACTTTGACTCACCCACTGATTTTTGGCCTTTTGATTACAGACCTCGAGCCTCTGCGCATTTGTTAAAGGTGCTGGTAGCACAATTATTGTAAATGTGATTTTGCAATGCATTTGATCTCTTCGAATAAAATTTCGCAAGAAACTCGGATAAGTAAAAACCTTGACTAACTCATAGATATTTGTTCTACCGCATTTATTCGTTATCCGAAAGACGACTGTGTAATATTACATATGATAGTGATATGTATAAATTAAGCACTATTCCAAGTAGGATTGATGTTTCATTTAACCTTGATATAGCAGGCCAACCTACGGTGTTACTGTAGATACTCTCGTTTCGCACCTTTTAAAAGCGCACAAACTCAATTTTGTACGTTTATCAACACGAACACTTCGACTTAAAAAATCTGTGGACAAAAGTGCGTGGCAACTTCGTAGCACTCGAGGCCACAACTGAGTCATGAAAAAGTAAAACATAAAATTCTGGAATACTTGCCTCCAATAGCTTGTGCATATATAGCGATTCGATAAAATTGGAGGCTAAGAAGACGAAGGAAGGCGGAAATTGCTCGCCTGCAGGCGCTCACCAGCTTTGGAAAGCGCTGGTTAGGTAATTTAGAAGCACTCCAACTGGGCGTCTGTTAAGGAACATATGATCCCATCATTGGACCGCTGAAGTTGAGCGTTCTGGCCTCCGAGGGCTAAAATTTTGATACCCCTCCCCCTTTGATGAAGGAAGTGTAGATGGTACGGGGATCAGCCTTATTTCAAAAGGAGCTACAGTGCGTCACGCTTGTGATCCCGAAGCCAGGAGTTTGCGCAAAAGAATGGATACTTACGTGCAAAATCTCAGGAAAAGAGGCGCTCCCAACGTGAAACTATTCGAACCAACAACTGTTACAAGTGTTTGCGCCACCTTAACCGTGTGTGCAAAGCTTGTGTCTATCCGTGTGGGATAGATTCCGTACAACAAATACATTTGTCGAAAGTTGTTTTGCTAGGCGCCCTAAGCGGAGATCATAAGGCAGAATGAGATAGAAAAATTGTCTTTTGTATATGGCGGTTTGCAGAGTGGATCGCTGCTGAGAAGAGAGGTAAAGGATCTATGACGTCGCTCCATAATGTAACGGAGATGGTGGCGAATGATAGCGTTTGAGCGCTCGTAACATTTCGTGCCAGAGTCTGCGGGGCAGAAAGCGGCTGCAACACACGTAGATGAACTAGACCCTATAGAAAAGAAGTATGCTCTATCTTTGTTAGGATTTGACGGTATTGCTGAGTCAGCACTACATTGTAATGGACCCATCGCGCGGAGCACAGAATGCCCACGGCTATGAAGCTAAAAAAAATCTTCACTCATGAGTGGAGTGATGGGCGTAGTCCAATGGGCTGTAATAACTTCTTTGCTTCCATCTACGGAAGTTCTTGCAGAGTTATAAAAACTTCTTTCGACAATTTATGAAAGATTTTGCATGATGTTGAGCTTACCGAATTGAAAGGGCTAGCATTAGAGGAGGCACTGATTTCGTCGCCCGAACGGGTGATTCTGTCATTGAGGACACCAGCAGGGCACCGGGTGCGAGGAGTGGGACGGCTATCGCCAGCGATCCTACGGATCCTTCCTAGAATCTGTTTTGAGAAATACCACGACGCCGCCACCGCCTGGACAGAGAAGTGAGTCACGAGGTTGACTTGATTCTCGGATTCGATTACTGCATTTCACGTCAATGATCTTTTTTAACAGTATGGCGTAATTGATACGATCTTTCGTGCAAAACAAGAAGCAGATTAATTATGCGCAGCTTAATCCCCGCACTTGGCGCCGACTTTCCGCGTAAGAATTGCTAACGGCAAGTGATAAATTATGTATGATAATATATAGTCAACTGTCACAATATTGGTGCAAATGTCGTCCCTTAAAAAGGATGTAATGCACAACGGCATTGACAGACACGATTTGTTCAGTGCTCTCGCTCAAGTTGGTGACTATTATATACTGCTACTTACAGACTGCGATATCCGCTTACCGCAGTAAGTACTCGAGTGGTATGCTGTGGAAGTGACTAATATGCTGCAGAGACTGGTTTATGTACCGGCAACGCTCAAGGTTTTAGCTATTAAGCTGTTCAGGCTATTCGTAAGCTCAATCGAAGATGCATTCGCTTATAATCGCACAGCGCGCGGAGTGTTGAATCTGGAAGACCTCCCGCAGCACTTGCGAGCGGCGATCGAGCGTGTCCGCCTCAGTAAACGATTCAACAATAAATACAAGGGTGTCATTAGCGCGAACAAGATCTCCTTTTCGAGTTGCTTCAATTTAATGCATGTCCTATAGAAAAATTCCGCAAACGCCAAAGTAAAGTGGCTGACGCTTCTGTTTAAACAGGACCTGAGGAGGTTGTACTGACCAACTGCTTGTTCAAGTATAGTCCAATCATGCCGACTGGCGTAACACATCGCCAAATTTCTTTCGGAGGACGTCAAATGGCGTGGGGTAGTGATAGAGGCGGTCCTCGTGGTGTGAGAAAGTCGAATGCAATCCCTGATTCAGGTATCTCAAACCACCTTCCGGCTGCCACACGTCATCTATAACACTTTCGTATTTCCAGTAAACTGCACTTTATTTTAAGCAGATGTCATTGGGTATGAGCAAGCAAACGAACAACTCTTTTCATAACGAGGAGCTATGTGCACTGAATTATGCCATCGCCAAGTTCAGGGTGCATCTTCTTGGCTTTAATCCGTTTGGGATTCAGAAAGATCATGCGTCGTTGTGCACAGCGACGTCTTTATCACATTTCCATCGAAAACGGCAAGGTGTATCCATTGTTGCCGAATATAGCTTCGAAGTGAAGTTTGAACTGAGTTAGCGTGAAGTGGTGGCAATTGCGCTTTTACGTCTCCCGAACTATGAATTGTCGCATGTCGCGATGGTGACATCAACCGGTTAACAAGGCGATACCTATAGCGTATGGGTCAGAAGAAACTTGTTTGGTGTTATTGAAAGCCTTGGAAGTAACAGCTTTAAGAACTCAGATGAAGCTTTATCAAAGCGCGCAGTTGTACGCTTTACCGCTATGACATTTCCCGAGGCTTTCTGTGTTGCAGTATTGACTCACATGTCATTCAGCGTGTTGTTGTAACGGGGTTACACGTACCCTGGTAACAGGGGGGGGGTCACACGAGATGGACATGGTGTGACTGCACCCAAATAAGAACTGGGGATGTGGCTGGGTAGCCAGTAGTTATGCATGTATTTAGATTTTACTATACATCAAGGAAATCTATACATTCAGAATTATGCGGCTTTGCCGCAGATAAAAACTAAAAAATACAGTTTACATTTTAAATAGAAGAGTTTATTAGCCTTGGGTTAAGGTTCTAACTACTCTTGGAGGTAGCAGATTGCGATCCGCTACACTCGTACTGGTTCGTGTAAAGAACGTAAAGTCGGTGACCGAAATTAAGCTTTCTCTAAGCGCAGAGCCACGGCAGCCCCGCTTCAGTTGTGGTTCCCCATGCTGAGGCCTTCAAGCACCGAATATTGCACGAAGCTCATGGTACCCCCCTAGGTGACTCTCTTGAGAGAGAAAACAAATAATGTTGTTCTATACAGTGACAAAATCTTATGTACTGCAAAGCATAAGGCTAGCAGCCCACAAATTTGCGATGTCCAATCACTCTCATCCGTACCGGTACGGTTTATACTTTTCATAGTATTTACTTTGTTTTTCTAAGCCTTGCTCCAAATCCGATGCTCATTATTGCAGTAGTGTCACCAAAATACGATACACACCTTAGTCCTAATACCCATCTACAACAAAAAGGAGAGACACTGCGTACCTGGTCATAATGATGTTTGAATTGATTTAGCCTGGTGCTATCTCTGACTGAAGCTGTTTTGCATACAATATATGTAGCGAGAAGTCCTCCAATGATTTTCTTGATAGTGTTGAATGCAAATTGCTAAGTAACAATTCCGACATATATTCGTCACTGAGATGTAAGCAAATAACTTCTTAGAAGACATGCTACCCCATACACGTACACTACACGAACTCCATGTTGGTAAAAACACCAAATACACAAACGCGACGCAGATCGGATGCCAACGCGGATGAAATGATCCCATACAAAGCTGGCTAAGCGTCTATTGTCTTTCTCTTGCTCTGTTACAGTCTACATCTGTAATTACCACCGCAATTCAAGTCCCATTAAAATCTGCTACATCAAAATATGTGCCAATCGTAAACGGGTTATATTCCTACCAAAAGCGCAAAAAATAAGACCCAAGACTGCATATGATGGACTTGTTGACCTACAACACTTACGGGGCACCGGCCTACATAGTAGTGCCCTTTGGAGTGCTTGCCGTAATCTGTTTAGTGCTTGCACTGCATTTCATCACGCACATACAGGGTCTTAACGCGGGCCTTACCGGCAAGAAGAAAAAAACGATACTGCTACTGGGCCCGCGTCACGCTGGCAAGACGAGCTTTTTTCATCTTATTCATGATGGTATACACGTGGATACAGTAAGCTCCATGAAGGAGCGGACTGATCGCTTTATTGTCCACTCCAAGTACAACCTGGACAAACTAGATACTGAGCTAACAGTTGTCGACTATCCCGGCCACGAGCGCCTACGCTCGTAAGACACGCACTAGCGTTATCTCTATTGCAATATACAACGCTATCACCGGATACATAAAACTAACCTTTATGATTATAGACGCGTGGCAGACTTCTACCCCGTCACGAGCTGTATTGTATTTTTCGTGGATGCTAGCGACGTAGCTTCATTTCGAAAGGCTGCCGAGTACGTTGTTCCAGCATTGACTGCCTTTGCCCAAAGTACTTTGCTGATTACTTCTTGCAGGTTCTTGTACGATATATTTGCAAACAAGAACGTGAACGATCAATCACCACCACTTATGGTTGTGTGCAACAAGAGTGAAGCTGTCGGAGCTGTTGGTTCGCAAGTCGTACGTGATGCTCTGGAAAAGGAATTGACGAAGCTCAAGGCCACTCGCTCTTCTTTAGAAACAGAAGGAGATGATGACGAACAGGATTTGACACAGGTTCCAGTCGGTCGTGATGGAGCACCATTTCAATTTGATGTGGATGCACCATGTGAAATCTTGTTCGTAAAGTGCAGCGTCAAGGACGCCGAAATTTCCGACGTTGTGCATTTCATCCAGCAGCATTAAGTGAGCTTTCTAACATAATATCACGGTTAGGTAAGATTTACATAATGAGACTTAGAGAGGAGGTAATAAATTGTGGTGATTGTTTGAAATTGTATTTGCATGTTCTCGACTTATTGACCCAAGTTTGCGATGCTGTTGCCCAGTCCATACAGATGACCCGAATACTTTGCTGCATTCTCAACGTTGCCCTCAAAAAAGACCTCAACCATCTTGAAGAACGTAGCGGCCGTAAGCAGTGCATCAGACCCAGCCTGGTGCATTGTACCTATTCTCTCCACTTTGAGATCCTCAGCCAAGCGGCTCAGTCCTCCCACCTTGTCAAAGTCCATACCCACGTGCTTTAGATCAAAAGTTGCTGGAAAGTACGTGTTTAATAAGTCAAAAAACGTGTCTTCTTCAGCTGGTAATGGGGCGCACGTAAGTACTTTAAGCAGGTAGCCAAAGTCCGATGAGCCGTGAAATGAGACCCACTTGACGTGGTCGCCTAGTACGAGCCCCGAGGGTACTAACAATTCTCCAAATCTGGCCACTTCAATTCCTTTTTCCTCATGCTTGGCAAAGTCAATTCCAGCCTGCTTGAGGATTTCAATCGAGTCTTGCGCGTACATGTCCTCGCTTAGACTAAACTTAAAATTAAACTGCCATACCGGCAAATCTTCCATGTACGAACCATCCTCGTTGAAAAATGCCACACCTAATTGAATGATTCGAAGCAAGTCGACGTTGCAACGCAATGTCTGATACTGATAGTCTGTCGACGTCGCGAAGGACCCAATAGGACGTGCCACGACACCAGGGTACTCAGTATCCATGGCTACGTAGCAGCCCTTTGTCACCACCTCACGAATTGTCTTCATTGTTTCGTCTAGATTCGTATCCCAAACATCGCGAATTTCCACGTCAGCGGGCATTGGGCGAGCCGACAACATGGTCATGGAAAAGTACTTAAAAGGCGCGGAAATCTCAGCTATAAACGATTGTAGCAAGTCAAGCAAGCGACTACAATCGATCACAGCTGGAAAAACCAGATTAATGTGCTTGATAAGAGATTGAGCGATTGAGTAGAAGAATTAAAGCACGACGGGACCTGCACACGCACGCGTAGCGGCGCGTTCACCTAACTTGATTGTCAATTGTTCCGTGTTTGATCGGAATTACTTGGGTTGCAAAATCTAACCTTATTTTTGGCAAATACATTTCCCGCAATTAATTGGTAGCGCACTATGTTGTCGTTGTCGCTCGTAATCGCTCGTGCTCGGCTAAGACGCACCTCTGACGCCACCACAAGATTATTGTACAAATTTAACAGCAATGTTAAAACCAGGAATAGTGAGATGAACCAATTTGTACTTCAGAACGCGCGTGCATTTTCCACAACTGATGATTTAAGAATCAAAGATGAAGAGAAACTTGATTCGGAAGAGGAAGGCGGTGAGAATTCGAAGCGTTCGAAGCCGCTCGATGGTGAAATGAATGCATTTGAGCGTCTTCTGCTTCACTCACAGCAATTCCAACTTGGTGAAGCTGATGATACTGACTTTGCAACTAAAGACGAAGAGAATTCTGCCTCTACACGACAATCAGAGAGCAGCAGACCCAAGAACTTTAGCAGTAACTGCCGCTCGTCTGCAGTCAAGCTCAAATCGCTTCGTCATCGTGGAAATTCAAGACGTCAATGGCAACTTGGACGAAAGGCCGAAAGCCTTGTCGTTAGCAAGGAAACGGACGAGATCGACTACGAGACCGAGCTGGAGAACGTCTGGAGCGAGCAAGAGCTCAAACAGCGTAAGTATCACCAAGCGCTGTGGCGTCAAACAGATAGGGATCACATATGTGAGAATTGTGGAGAACGCGGCCATCGTCCGAGGAATTGCCTTTTACCGCGCATTTGTTCCAATTGCGGTACTTTGGGCCACACAGCTCAACAGTGTCGACACAGGAGGCTTCCTGATTCCATTGATGAGTTTCTTCTGGAAGAAAAGGCGATGCAACAGAAGAGAACAAAGAACCAAAAAGTTCGACAGAAAGCGGCTATGGCAGCCAAGAATCCAAATTTACCACGCCCACAAGAAGTGCCGACTAGCGAATTCAGTAAGCGTAACGAGAGTCTACGCAGCGAGTTGGAGGCAGAACTTGACGCATACGCTGACAAGTTAGAAAAAATGGCTCGACAGCGCGAAAAAGTAGCGATGCAGAGAAAATTAGACAAGCAATCGGTATGAGGCATTTAGGAAATACTAGTGGAAGCATTTGTTTTAACTTTTTAACCTTCGATCGAGTCTAATTGACAGCTCCAAAACCACCGCCTCCAGGCGTGTAAAGCGTCAAGATCTCGCCTGGTTGTACGTCCACAGTATTCTTACCACCTAAATTCACTATGCGACCGCCACAGCGCTGTAACAGATTTATACCACGTGCACCTGGTCCTCCACCTTCCAATCCGTACGGCTGGAACGCACGGCGTTCTGACAAAATACTTACAGTCATGCTTTCCAGGAACTCAATCTGACGCACGACTCCGTCACCTCCACGATATTTACCAGTTCCCCCAGACCCTTCACGAAGGTGAAAGGCTCGCAACAGTACAGGATACCGTTTTTCGAGAATCTCGGGATCTGTAATACGAGTGTTTGTCATGTGGGTATGAACTCCGCTACGTCCATGCCAAGAAGGACCAGCCCCGGCACCACCCGCAATCGTCTCGTAGTATCCACCTAGTGTCGCGCTGCCAAACGTGAGGTTGTTCATGCAGCCCTGAGACGCCGCACAAGCCCCAAAAGCCTTTAAAATCACATCAGTGATACGTTGACTTGTAAGCACATTTCCACCTACGACGGCAGCGTTGTCACTTGGATTTAAGATACTGCCTTCTTTTGGAAAACGTACGTCGATAGGAGTCAAGCATCCTTGATTCAACGGCAAGTCTTCACCAGGCAATAAGCAGCGTAGACAGTAAATGATAGCAGAATATGTCACAGCTGGCGGCGTGTTAACATTGCCAAAGACTTCTGGTCCCGTGCCCTCAAAATTAAAGGTTGCTGACTTTGTACAGCGGTCAATTGTAATCTGCAATGCAATTTTTGTGCCATCGTCCATGAAGTCTTCGGCGCGCACGACTCCAACTTCAGGTAATTGTCGCTGCAGTGAAAATTCATGCAACATGTTGCGTACGGCCATCTCGGCAGCTTGTTGGATATAGTTCATATATGCCGTTACAACGGGCAGTGAGTACTCACTACACAGTTCACGCATGAGTACAACACCACGTTGATTGGCTGCGACTTGTGCACGCAGATCCGAAAGATTGTCACGCAGGTTACGTGTACCAATACACGGCTGTCCTCGGTCATCCATCCGTCCCTTTTGCAAAAGAATGTCCGTTATTTCGCTCTCTCGAAATTCGCCTACTTTGCCATCCACAAGCTTAAAAGCCACAATTGCTGCGCCTTCTTCGGACAACGTCTTGGAGAGCGGCGGCATGGAACCAGGTGAGATGCCACCAATGTCGGCGTGATGTCCACGACTAGCAACGAAAAACTCAATTTTGCCACTCAAGTTGTCGAATACTGGTGTCATGACAGTGATGTCTGGCAGATGCGAGCCGCCAGCGAGCTGTGGATGGTTTGAAACGAGCACGTCTCCGTTATGTAGATCATTACCCCAGAACTTGAGTTGATGGCGTACAGCTTGTTGCATGGCCCCCAAGTGAACCGGAAGATGTGGCGCGTTTGCAACAAGTCCACCGTCAGGACCAAAAAGGGCACAAGAAAAGTCCAGGCGCTCCTTGATATTTACAGAAACTGAAGTACGGGCCAGTGTGCGACCCATTTGTTCGGCAATACCCATAAAACGATGTGAAAATACGGAAAGCTGAATTGGGTCGAGCGGGACGTCTTCACTGCGCAGAACAGCATCATCTTTGCTTGCTTCTTCACCTTTAGCACTCAGAACCAAGTACAGATCGCCACTAGGCATGACTTGTACTTCCCATTCTGGCTCAATCACAACCGTCGCCGTGCCTTGCATGATTATCGCGGGTCCGCTGTACTTGGCTCCCCGTGTCGCCATCAGATGTTCGTGAAGATATACAGGAATTGGCTCCCATGTCTTTTTGGCTTCAAAGTAGAACAGGCTAGTTGAATGAGGCGAACACGGCTCTACCGCACCGCTGGCGTTCGAGTCAGCATGTAAAGCTGGGTCTTTTAGATAAGGCGACACCGTTGCACGGACACGGACATCATCAATCAGAATGGCACGATTTTGCAGCACAAATCCGAACTCGCGCTGATACTTCTCAATAAAACTTTCATCAAAAGCGTACTCACATAGAGCAGCCGCACTTTTTATTGGAGATTCTCCTTTTGCACCTACTGGTCCACGGGTCATCACCGCGTTATCCGTGCCTTCGTAGCGCAAATTTAAAAAGTACTGCACCTGCACGTCTGTGAGACGAATATCGTCAGCAATCAGTTCGTTCACTGCTTCTTCGGCAAGCTTGACAAGATTGTCTACGATAGCCAGCTTGGTGTCAGCGCTGTACACCGCAGAAGCAGGTAATTGCTTATCCACAACACTATCTGCCACACTCAAGCCATATGCAGAAAGAATGCCACTGTATCGATGAATGTAGACCTTTGACATGCCCAAAGCCTTTGCAATCGAGCACGCGTGTTGCGGTCCAGCACCTCCAAAGCATGCTAAGATGTGTGTACTGATATCATACCCCTTGTTTTGCGTAAGGTTTCGGATAGGCCGGCACATGGCTTCATTAGCGACACGCAAGAAACCCGAAGCCACGTCTTCCATCGAGTATTGCGCACCATTGGCACCAGCCGAGGCATTTATTTCTTTTGTCAGTTCTTCAAATGCTTTTTTGGATCCTGCCACATCAAGTGGTTCATCCTCTTTCGGGCCGAAAATCTTAGGGAAGAACTCTGGCAGAATGCGTCCTGTCACAAGATTAGCATCCGTGACACTAAGATAGCCATTTTTACGGTAACAAACAGGACCAGGATGTGCACGAACTGACTCAGGTCCCACAAGAAAAAGCCCATTTTTGTAAAAGAGTCGCGATCCACCACCAGCCGCTACCGTTTGAATATCAAGCTGTGGTGCTCGTACCGTCACATTGGCCGTCACACTCTCCAAAACATGCTCAAACTTGCCGTCAAAACGCGATACATCGGTCGAAGTGCCGCCCATATCGAAGCCAATCACTGCGGAAGCTTTATTTGACGCCTCAGGTGGCCGTGTCGTACGAGCATAACCCACGACACCCCCGGCTGGACCCGACAGAATGGCGCGGTGGCCATAAAAGTGCTTCATACGCGCAAGACCTCCATCACTTTGCATGAAACTTATGTTCACCTTTTCCAATCCTTCACCAAAACCATCACAGAATGACGCTACATATTTTTTGATCACTGGCGTCAAGTACGCATCAGCACAAGTAGTGAATCCACGTGGAACTGCTTTAATCATCGGCATCACTTCAGACGACAATGAGATCTGTGAATAACCTAGTCGAGATGCAATTTCATGGATCGTTTTCTCATGTCGCGGAAACGTGTACGAGTGCAGCAATACAATCGCGACACTTTCGATTCCGTCATTTCGTGCATTTTGAAGCTTTCTAGTTACATCTTCAACGTCTAATTTTTTTAAGACACGAATGTAATCGCCACTGACTCCTTTCTCATCCGTTGGGAGTCGATCCTTTTCATTGTTTATTAGCTGAAGACGCTCGTCCACCTCAATCACCGAGTCGTACAATGTCTTTGAATACAAATAAAACACGTCAGTGCGCCTGGTCATGATAATAACAACCGCTTTTAACTCACATCGGGCATGTTAATCTCAAGATCAAATATTTTAGAACGGGATTGATTGCCAATATACAGCATATCGCGGAAGCCGCTCGTGGTGACTAAAACTGTGCGTTCCCCATTGCGTTCTAACAATGCGTTAGTAGCCACTGTTGTACCCATGCGAATACTCTGGATTCTCGATGTATCCACGGGCTGATCGCGTGGATGCGGGACACCCGTCATGGATTCTAACACGCGGCGAATACCCTCTCTATCCAATTGATATTAGTGTTGGCATTGATAAAAGACCACTATAGTAGGACGTACCGAGGAGCGTCTGGATAATTGGCTGGATCTTCCGATAGAAGCTTTATGACCTTAGGAATAACGTCCACGATGTTTCCTTGAGTGTCCAATACATCCATTTCGGCGTATACATCCGTAAAGGTCCCCCCACGATCTATGGCGAAGCGAAACACTCGCATGATGGACAATGCAGTGTGCAACTACGATAAGTAAGGATACTATATATTACTACAAAATTGCTTAACATATCTTTCTATGAGTTAATATTAGTCTTATGCATTTTTATATTTGTTTTCAGAAAGCTGTAAAACCACAAGCTGTCAATACCTTGAGTGGTGACTCAGTTGTTCTGCCCTATCAGAGTGGTTACGGTTCCGAACGAAATGTAAACGTATCAAATGACAAGCTGAAGAATGTGGAGGAGTATGTATACAACTTTAATCAAAACAAGTAGAAAGAGTGATACGCAATGTCAACTATGCAGGGTGCTGCATGGGTCGTGGGTTACCCAAACGGAATTCTCGTGGGTTTGGGTAATTTGACCT